CTGTACACACAGTTGTGACAACACTGAAAGAGTCTGCACACAAAGTTGACTCCAAGGTTTTTACACCCGGTCACAGGTGGGCTCGATCCCGTCACCTCAAGCTCGCTGGATCACTAGCCTGGCGCTTTAGCCAGTTCGCCCACCGCGCCCCCCACAGACAACTCTATAGTGGCATTCTCAATAAATAGGCAAGGATCAACAAGATCCCTAAGCCTACTTCAGCTCACATTCCAGTTGTTCAACATCACAGAGGATGCAAACTTCTGGTTAAAGGCATGTCACATACCGGGAGCCAAGAACGTACTAGCAGATGCTCTTTCCCGACCACTTCATCCATCACCCATGGAAGGGATGCTGCATCCAGAAGCATTCCGGCTCATCATAAGGGAAATAGGATCCCCATGCATAGACCTGTTCCCTCGAGTTTCAACAAACAACTACAGATGCATACTAAACACATACGCGTTTCCATCCCCAATATTACTACTGAAAGTACTTATGAAGATCAAACAGACACAGGCGCTACAACTGACTTTGGTCGTGCCCTATTGGCCAGCGAGAGTATGATTTCTAGACCTAATAGATCTCGGAAGTCCAACCCTCAAACTACCAGAATGGCCAAACCTACTCAGACATCCGCACACCAAAGAAGTCCACAGGAACCCAACACTGTTCCAGCTACACGTGTGGACCGTATCAAAACCTGTCTGAAGAAAAGAGGGTACTCTGCCAGAGCAGCGAAAGCAGTAACCTTAGCATTACGCAGGTCTACTCGTAATTTGTATGACGACAAATGGCAGAAGTTTGAACAATATGCAAGGTGGAAAGGCTTCACAGCTATGAAAACTACTCTTCTTCAAGTGGCTGAAATATCTATGTCACCTTAGATATACAAGACATCTGAAAGATTCGACATTATCCACATATCTGGCAGCTATCAGTACACTTGTCACTATGAAGTCAGGCATCAAGTTGACGAAAGTACCAGAACTACTTGCTCTGCTGTGATCTTTTAAACTGGAGGACCAGCAAAAAAAATTCAGATCACCAGCCTGGGATGAGTGATGCCTACGAACCTCTAGACCAGACTACCCTCGAGCTGCTGACACAGAAGACTCTGTTCCTACTTGCCCTAGCCACTGCAGCTCGAATGTCTGAGATACATGCGCTGGACTTTGGATGAACTAGATTCGACACGGGGCACCGTGCTGCAGTACATCTAGGACTTAGATGGGACTTTATTGCAAAGAATCAACTACCTGGTCAACCAGATAGACAGTTCCATGTACCAGCACTATCTGCGATCCTCGGACCAAAGGACACCCAGGACTTATCCTTGTGTCCTGTCAGAGCTTTGAAGATATATCTTCAAAAGACTAAAACAAGGAGAAGAAAGTTTAAGCGCCTATTCATCCCCATGTCGACGGAGATAGCAGTGGAAGTCTCAAGAATGACAATATCATTTTGGATGGGAGCCGTTATACTAAGAGCCCATAAAGCAGCAGGATTAGAACCTCTAAGAGCTTCCAACCCACACGAAATCAGAGCACCGGCGTCAACACTCGCTCTGCATGTAATAATAATAATAATAATAAGTGTTCTTGTATAGCGCACAAATCAAACTGCAAGGCAATTTCTCTAGGCGCTAAAAGATAGAGTGATCTGAAGAAAGGATTAAAGTTCATAAGCTTGTTTAAAAAGGAAAGTTTTCAGTTGGGACTGGAAAGATTCCACGGACGCGGCTTGTCGGATGTGAAGAGGCAGTGAGTTCCAGAAAGGGGAGCTGTGTAAGAGAACTGTCTATGTCCATATGACTTTAATCTGACCTTGGGGACATTCAACTGACAATTAGAACTTGATCTTAAAAGCCGTGGTGGGACATATTCACTGAGGAGATCTTTCAGATAGATTGGAGCTTTGTCATGGAGGCACTTGAAAGCGAGAGTGAGGATTTTATATTCTATTCTCTGTTTCGTGGGCAGCCAATGTAAGCGTATCAGCAATGGTGTAATGTGACTGCGCTTGTTGACTCGGCAAATCAATCGCGCCGCAGAGTTCTGAATCCTCTGGAGCTTGGACAATAGATCTTGGCGGATATTTACAAGAAGACTGCAGCAATAATCCAAACGTGAGAGAACAAGTGAACGAACTAGGTGGTGAGCTGCATCAAATGTCAGAATATCACGAATGGAAGCAATATTTCTGAGATGAAAATAGCATGACTTACAAACAGAGTTTACGTGTGTTTCCATGGATAAATTTGAGTCTAGAAAAACACCAAGGTCTTTCACGGAATCACTGAAAGGAACTTTCTCATTACCCACTACCAACGAAGACACATCCACCTTAGCAGTGCTACTGGGTGATCCACACAGCAAAACCTCGGTCTTACTGTCATTTAATCTCAGCTTCCTTTGTATCATCCATGCTTTGGAGTCAAGGATACAGTCTTCGATTATAGACATATCGGCTGGAAGTGAGTCCGGTTTAGTGGAACGCAACAGCTGGGTGTCATCAGCATATGACTCGTACATCACAACATGATGCCGAATGATATTGCCGAGATTCTTCATATAGAGTGAAAGAGAATGGGCCCAAGAACGGAACCTTGTGGCACTCCGTATGTAAGCTGATGCGTACACGATTTCACGTCTTGAATGACCACAGATTGTGTCCTATTATTGAGGTATGAGACAAACCATCCAAGAGCTGTGCCATGAATACCAAATTCTGTTTTCAGACACTCAGTTAGTTGAACATGGTCAATGGTATCAAAAGCCGCTGATAAATCAAGCAGCGTTAGAACTGTAACATAGCCCGCATCAGCTGCAGCAAGAAGTCTCTCCATCACATGCAGAAGTACGGTCTCTGTGGAATGATCGGAGCGATATGCAGACTGATGCACGTCATAGAGATCATTCAAGGTCAAGTGATCAACAAGGCGTACCTTGATTGCCTTCTCAAGCAATTTTGATATGAAGGATAAATTAGAGACAGGCCTATAGTTCGATAGTGTGTCAGCGTCTAAGCCAGGCTTTTCAGGAGTGGCTTAACAACAGCGACCTTCAGACACTTGGGGACACATCCGGAAGATAAACTGCTGTTTATTATCCGTGTGATCACTGGAAGCAAAACATCAATGAACTCAAGAACAAATCGTGTTGGTGCTGGATCCAACATACAAAATGTTGGTCTTGCTGATGTTAAAAGCTTTAGGACCTCTGCTTCTGAAAATGGTGCAAAAGCACTGATGAAGTGTACTTGACCCAATGGCGTTGGTTCATGATGCGTTACAGGTATATCCAATGAATCAAGTTCATTTCGAATCTTGCAGATTTTGTCAACAAAAAAGCTATTGAAGTTATCCACAAGTTCCCCCAGATCAGACGTCTGTGGGAGAGCAGAATCCTTAGCCTTGCCAACTAAGCGGTTTAGGAGCTGATACATCTCTCTGCTGGATCTTACTGACTGTAGAGCTGATAGAGTGTATGCAGACTTTGCCCTCCGTACTGCCCTAGTTACACAGTTTCTAGCGGCAGTGAACATTTGACGATACACTTCTAAACCCGACTGTCTCCATCTCCGTTCTATGACACGACGCTCTCTTTTTAAAGAAGCGATCTCTTCATTAAACCATGGTAACGACGAACGGTCGGGAATATTCTTCTCTTTAAAGGGTGCATGCCTATCAAGGAGATGGGATAGGGTGTCATTATACAATTCACATAAAGTTTCCGGATCATCAGTTTGGCTCGTGAAAAGTAGTGAGTTTAGTAAATCTGATCTAAAGTCCTCCCTATCAATTTTCTTAATATTGCGAGATTTGACAGTTTTAACAGACTTTGGCGGTTTCACTAAAGATAGGATACAGGTGATAACGTGGTGATCAGACATCTGGGAGTCCAACACAGATACATCATCCAAGATATCCCGGTCCTGTCGAGTAACAACCCAGTCAAGGGTATGTCCTGATCTATGGGTAGAAGAAGCCACATTCTGCACAAGCTCATGAGATTCCAGGAGCTTAATCCACTTTTTCGTGACGGCATCCTGTGGATTATCCCAATGAATGTTGAAATCTCCCAGAACTAATATGTTTTTCTGTGTGAGATTTGACAGAAGCAATGAGAAATCTTCAATGAAATCCTGTTGAGTAGAACCATTACGTTTGGATACAGGTGGACGATAGATGCACACACATCTCACATGAACGTTCCCATTGTACTGCACAAAGCTCAGCTGTTCGAAGCTTTTATAAGATATCTTATTGAAGCACAGTTTGAGGTTCAAATGCTCCTTAAATATCACAGCCACACCCCCACCCCTGCCAGAGACGTGGTTCGTGACGAAACGAATATGCCGGTGGCGTCATATCAGCAATGATGGCATCATCACCTTGTGAGTGCAGCCAAGTTTCCGTAATAAGGAATACATCAACATCATTGTCCATGATATAGTCAACAACTTCTGCTGTTTTGTTTCTAGCAGACTGTGCATTCCACAGACATACTTTGATATATCGACCTTTAATGTGATCTGACTTAACTTCGTTATTCATTGGAGTGGAGAATGGTCTGCGTGGTTTATCATCGCTACGGTGTTTACGATTTCGTAGGCCCCTCCTAGTCCGTTTCTTAGAACATATACCAAAAGATCGAAGTTGCATAAAAGTGTTCGTAGGGATAAGATTGTCTTTGCTATTAAGTAACAACAGCTCGCTAGTTGAGTAGGTCCTCATTGTCACTGAGAGCAAGCTAATTGGCTGTCTATTGTCCGTCTCTGGCCATGGGTCTATACTCGTTACACCCCAAGCTGATGTTAGCTTGTCACTGAATGTGCTATATTGCAAATATAGCAATATGAACATCACAAAGTCCTCCAAATATCTCATCTTCCTTGTGGAATCATTTCAGAGAAATCACAGATATGTATCCAGGAAGTATGTGGTATCCAGTTTGCTAAAATCAGCAAAGTTCAGACTGCAGTAGTATGATAAATAGGCAAAACCAGGAGACTATCTTCACTTCGAGAACATAGGTGATGTTGTGTTCATCAGCGGCGCTTTAGCGGGAATGGCAACCAGCATCATCATCCTCATCGTCATCCTTGTCTTCATTCTGGTTGCGGTGGTTGTGCTGCTCATCATCATGAAGGTGAAGAAGATCGGCTTCTTCAAGGAGATCGACGACAGCGCCCACACCGTGGCGTACACGGCGGGACAGGAGATGAACATCCACCAGATGACCGGAGCTGGCGGCACTTACAGTTTTGAAAATCGACAGAATGGTAAGTATCAAACAATGCTTGTGAGAGAAATAATTCATGATGGTGCAAGAAATAACAATTTGTAAATCACAGATGTTTTCTGTGGAGGGCATCATAGAGGCACTTTCTGTTAAATTGTTGTGTTCACATAATTCAGGGCCCTGTTCAACAGAGCGATTATAGCAATACGACTATTGTAAGTCTATGTTTAAGAATGGGAGTTAAGATTACCTTATTTCTGATATCCCTTTGCATATTTGGACCCAGACTTTGTCAGAAAAATTGTAGAATCTAGTTTAAAGAGGTTTCACGTCTTTTTTACAATAGCTGAAACATGTTATTTTGAAGTATTATTAATGCTAATGAACATACACTACAACAGATTTGGAATATGTTCTATTCAAACCCATTGAATGTGCTGGTGCCTGGCCAGCTGATATTGAGTAATTGTGTTTCTGTACAGACTATGCTGAGCAGCGTCCTGTGCAGCATCACCAGACAGCGTTGTCGATGGTGAGTGACGACATGCTGGCACTTATACAAAACGAGAATCTGCTGATTGACCACGAAGTTCTTACACTTGGAGACATTCTGGGAAAAGGTGAGTCCTGGGTAGGATTAATGTAAATATGGTGAGTCCTGGGTAGAATTAGAGTAAATATGGTGAGTCCTGGGTAGGCTTAGAGTAAATATGATGAGTCCTGGGTAGAATTAGTGTAAATATGGTGAGTCCTGGGTAGGATTAAAGTAAATATGGTGAGTCCTGGGTAGGATTAGAGTAAATATGGTGAGTCCTGGATAGAATTAGAGTAAGTATGGTGAGTCCTTTGTAGGCTTAGAGTAAATATGGTGAGTCCTGGGTAGGATTAGTGTAAATATGGTGCATCCTGGGTAGGCTTAGAGTAAATATGGTGAGTCCTGGGTAGAATTAGAGTAAATATGGTGAGTCCTGGGTAGAATTAGAGTAAATATGGTGAGTCCTGGGTAGGATTAGAGTAAATATGGTGAGTCCTGGGTAGGCTTAGAGTAAATATGGTGAGTCATGGGTAGAATTAGAGTTAATATGGTGAGTCCTGGGTAGGCTTAGAGTAAATATGGTGAGTCCTGGGTAGAATTAGAGTAAATATAGTGCATCCTGGGTAGGATTAGAGTAAATATGGTGAGTCCTTGTAGGATGAGAGTAAATATGGTGAGTTCTGGGTAGGCTTAGAGTAAATATCGTGAGTCCTGGGTAGGATTAGTGTAAATATGGTGAGTCCTGGGTAGGCTTAGAGTAAATATGGTGAGTTCCGGGTAGGATTAGTGTAATATTGTGAGTCCTTGTAGGATTACAGAGACTGTATTGCCATGTGCCTGTTGAATATGGCAGTAACTGCAACTTGTAACCTATTCTTGTACATGTACTTTTCTAAATATACCCACTGACCAGTCAGGTTATTTCACAATTCACGGTGGAATTTCTTAGGCCTGTTAAGTGCAAGATGTGTTTTGCCCCACTGTATAACTGTGTCTATATTGGCTGGTGTGTGTTCAGGACATTTTGGCTGCGTCTACCGGGGTTTCCTCACTCTACCAGATGAGAAGGGCGACTTAATGATTGCTGTGAAAACTCTACACCGTGAGTACAATGTCATTCTTATGTAAGGACAACTAATTGAAAAAAGATGAATGTGAAATTGTTGTTCCTGTAATTGCTCAAATACTCATATGACAACACTTTTAAAACACTTGACCAGTGCACATTTATAAATATTCACTCACCCACCCAAAAACCCACTCCCCACTCACTCACTCACTCCACATATTACAGAGGATGCTCCCCGAGACATTGAGCTGCAGGCTTTCCTTCAAGAAGCTCTCATCATGAAGGACTTCCATCACCCCAATGTCCTGGAGCTGATTGGCATCTGTCTGGGGCTGGACGCGATGCCCCTGGTGGTCTTGCCATTCATGCAACACGGGGACCTGCTCACCTACATCAGGGACGAAACCAAGGTAGGCTCTCACTAGTTCAGTAGTAGACAGTAGACACATGTACTTTTGTATGTTTCAAGGAGTAGACAGTAGATACATGTACTTTTGTATGTTTCAAGGAGTAGACAGTAGACACATGTACTTTTGTATGTTTCAAGTAGACAGTAGACACAAGTACTTTTGTATGTTTCAAGGAGTAGACAGTAGATACATGTACTTTTGTATGTTTCAAGTGTAGACAGTAGACACATGCACTTTTGTATGTTTCAAGTAGTAGACAGTAGACACATGTACTTTTGTATGTTTTAGACAGTAGACACATGTACTTTTGTATGTTTCAAGTAGACAGTAGACACATGTACTTTGTATGTTTCAAGGAGTAGACAGTAGATACATGTACTTTTTCATGTAGACAGTAGACAGTAGACAAGTACTTTTGTATGTTTCAAGGAGATAGACAGTAGATACATGTACTTTTGTATGTTTCAAGGAGTAGACAGTAGACACATGTACTTTTGTATGTTTCAAAGTAGTAGATAGTAGACACATAGTAGTAGACACATGTACTTTTGTATGTTTCAAGTAGTAGATAGTAGACACAAGTACATGTACTTTGTATGTTTCAAGGAGTAGACAGTAGACACAAGTACTTTTGACACAGGAGTACATGTTTTGTATGTTTCAAGTAGTAGACAGTAGACACATGTACTTTTGTGTGTTTCAAAGGAGTAGACAGTAGACACATGACACATGTACTTTTGTATGTTTCAAGGAGTAGACAGTAGACACATGTACTTTTGTATGTTTCAAGGAGTAGATAGTAGACACATGTACTTTTGTATGTTTCAAGGAGTAGACAGTAGACACATGTACTTTTGTATGTTTCAAGGAGTAGACAGTAGACACATGTACTTTTGTATGTTTCAAGGAGTAGACAGTAGACACATGTACTTTTGTATGTTTCAAGGAGTAGACAGTAGACACATGTACTTTTGTATGTTTCAAGTAGTAGACAGTAGACACAAGTACTTTTGTATGTTTCGAGTAGTAGATGTGTAGCATCATGCACCACCTTCAGGCCGGTTACCTCCCTTGGGCAAGCCAGAAACCAGTGATTGTTGGTTAACTATTGGTTTTGTACAATTTATGTGTCTAGTTTTTCCAGAATTATACTCTTGATCATGGGTTAATGTTTGAGGGTGGCATTACTTTAGGATGTCCTTTCACATTAAACACAGTGTGATGTATTGGGAATACTGCTCACAGTGGCATTAATAGCAACTCTCACTCAAATTCATACCTTTCGTATATTTTTTAATAAATGCTCAGTGTTGTTAAGAGTTAATCATTAGTTTCCTTGCATGCTCCATGATTGATAATAATTGCTTACATCACTCATTTTCTTGGATATTTTTATCTCCAGTGTTCCTTTAACATGTGTTTAATATAATATTCTGAATATTAGGGGAAGCGGGCTGGTGAGGTTATGGTGTTGGGCTCCTGCATAACAATGACACAGTGATGGGTGGACTGGTTTTATTACAAAAAAATTCACATTTGACACTGTTGTATTTGTTATGGTAATCTAATAAATTGAACATTGTTTAGTGACTGGTCTGTATTATGGGGATATGTCATCCAGATGGTTAAAGAAAAGATTTTAGAGATTAGAGATGGGGAATGGAAAAAATGTTACCTGGAATTGAGTGAAGGGGGCCAGCAAAACATGATACTGAACACAGAATCAAACTCATGACTCCCTACGCACCAACCCCTGTAATAAAAGACTGGACCTTAAAGGAATTTCAGACCAGAGTTGTCTCATGAAGATAAAACTGCTCAAGAAACGCCTTCATACTGACAAACACATTTTGTCCCAGACTTTCAGTGTCTCTTCATTGCCAAAGACTGTTATGTAGAATGCACCTTCATAGTAAAGATCCCAATCACGTCTTGCTTGATGTGGGGACGTGGATTGCTCAGTGGGATAATGTGTCTTAAATCCCAACAGGAGCTGTATCCTTAAGGATGCCAAAAAGTTCATGGTTTGAATTCCTGTTGTCCCAGATTGCTCAGTGGTTTAATGTGTCTCAAATCCCAAGAGGACCTGTATCCTTAAGGATGCCAAAAAGTTCATGGTTTGAAGTCCTGTTGTCCCAGATTGCTCAGTGGTTTAATGTGTTTCAAACTCCCGAGAGGAGCTGCATCCCTTTTGGGTGCCAGAAAATTCATGGTTTGAATTCCTGTTGGCCCGGATTGCTAGTTCCAGCACCATACAGTGGCTCGTATCTAAACACAGGATATAACATGACGGTCAGGCTTTTGTTGACACACAAGAACCTGAGGGAAGCAGTAACCTGAGTCTTGATGAACCTGAGTCAGTACCAGTCAGTGTGGATGCCTAGAGTGTACTGGTGTGGTCACTGCTGACTGAAGGAGTCAAACCAAACTCACTCACTCCCCCTTGGTTGATGTCTGACCAACTAGATATATCACTGGAATGTTTGGGTGACGGTATGGATGTTGCCAAACTCACTCACTCACCTTTGGTTGATGTCTGTCCATACATCACTGGAATGTTTGGGTGACGGTATGGATGTTGCCAAACTCACTCACTCACCTTCGGTTGATGTCTGTCCATACATCACTGGAATATTTGGATGACGGTATGGATGTTGCCAAACTCACTCACTCACCCTTAGTTGATGTCTGTCCATACATCACTGGAATGTTTGGATGACGGTATGGATGTTGCCAAACTCACTCACTCACCCTTAGTTGATGTCTGTCCATACATCACTGGAATGTTTGGGTGACGGTATGGATGTTGCCAAACTCACTCACTCACCTTTGGTTGATGTCTGTCCATACATCACTGGAATGTTTGGGTGACGGTATGGATGTTGCCAAACTCACTCACTCACCCTTAGTTGATGTCTGTCCATACATCACTGGAATGTTTGGGTGACGGTATGGATGTTGCCAAACTCACTCACTCACCTTTGGTTGATGTCTGTCCATACATCACTGGAATGTTTGGGTGACGGTATGGATGTTGCCAAACTCACTCACTCACCCTTAGTTGATGTCTGTCCATACATCACTGGAATGTTTGGGTGACGGTATGGATGTTGCCAAACTCACTCACTCACCTTTGGTTGATGTCTGTCCTACCCAGATACATCACTGGAATGTTTGGGTGACGGTATGGATGTTGCCAAACTCACTCACTCACCCTTGGTTGATGTCTGTCCTACCCAGATACATCACTGAATGTTTGGGCGACGGTCTGATTGTAATCTGATATGATACTCCGTGTGTGGACACCAGAAGACACTTATATGGAAGGTCATTTGTTGTGAACCCCGTGTGAACTTTGACCTCCCAATCCAAATGAAGGATGTGTGGACTTTTTAGCCAATCAGATGTCAGCTTTTTTAAGTGATTTTGCAACATTTCTTTACAACCTCAGTTTGGAAATTTCAGATCTTACAACGAAAACTCTCACAGAACAGAAACATTCTTTCAACTACACTCGGTTTTGGTGTAAAATGTCCGCAATACAGGGAGATTGCCTATTTATCTGTAATTTTAACTGGCCTATTGAATTCAATACAGTGGAAGCCCTCTCAACCGGCAAGCGTTGGGACCGGCAAAAAATGCCGGTATAGAGGGTGTGCCTGTTTAGAGAACTTTTCCCTTTTCAACCTGAGAATGATCAACCCTTTTCAAAATAAGACTGAACAACGAGTTGATAGTCATCATTAAAGATAACATCAAAAATACACGTATATGACACAAATGTAGGTGTTCAGTACAGCTTCCAGTACATTTACGTTATAATTTGAAACTCCGAAGTTTCAAGTCCGAAACTGTTTGCCTGCCAATTTGGTACTTAAGTGCAAGATCTTTTTGGAAGGCCGAGAAATTACATCAAAAGATTTTATCAGCTGAATTTTCTGTTCAAGAGTTAATTCCAATCTAGCCCGTTTGATTGGTATAGCCATCATGACACGGTGAGTTACTGACAAGTTGTGACACGACAATTTATTCATAATCGAAGTGACATGTGTCACTCATCAATTTACCTCACCTACTTATCATGCTCCTTTTATCCAACATCAACGAGCTTAATGCTGATGGTAATCCACTGTGTTAATACATGTTCAGCCAATTAACAGGAGAACTGAGATACTGGATGCCGATTTAGAGAGCTTTAATTACTGTACAAACAGTCAATTGGGCGGCCTTTGTTGTGCCGAAACACGGAATAGACTGACGCCGGATTAGAGAGCGTGTAAATGATCATAAATTAACTAGCTTCTGCCGGGACCAAATTGTAGTGCCGATATTGAGGGCATGCCAGATTGGAGGGCTGCCGGTTTAGAGGGCTTCCACTGTACATGTTATGGGGGAAAATCAACTAGATGTAGATTTCAAAGCCCTGACATGAGTGTCTGATTGCTGTCAAGGTGTTTTCAGCTTATCTTGCAGACAGGTATTTTATCAGAGATGAACATTGATTTTAATGAGCTTGGTGTGGATTTATACTTACAATGCTACTGATTTTCCTTGGCTTTCAGAACCCCACAATAAAAGATTTAATAATGTTTGGCATAGACATTGCTAGAGGTATGGAATACCTGTCCAGTCTCAAGTTTGTTCACAGAGACTTAGCAGCCAGAAACTGCATGTAAGTTATGTCGGCTTCGGACAGGGGTTTATCTATGATTTCTGCTCAGTGCCTTGCCTGGCAAATTTGGAAATATATTATAAGTTTGACACAAGTTAGATTGTCAAATACTATTTATTTAGTTTTATCAAATTCTGTGAAATTATGTATTTTTTCATTCAAATTTTTAATATCCTTTACTGCAGACTTAGGGCAGAGCGTTTCTAGATGAATCCCTGTTGTCTTTTTTGTTGCTTATATTTTTTTTCAATATGTTTGTAAAATAATTTTGAGTGACTGACTGACTCACCCTTGCCTACCTAACACATACAGCTGACCTTGAGATCCACATTGTTTAAGGAAGTGTTCAACCTTACTCACTCACTCACCCACTCACTCACCCTGGCATACCTCACTCACACATCCAGTTGACCTTGACATCCACATTGTTCAAGGAAGTGTTAAACCTATAAACCCTGTTGTATGGATGAAGGTTGGATGAGGACTTCCATGCCAAGGTGGCTGACTTTGGTCTGGCAAGGGACATCTACGAGAAGGACTACTACAGCTCGGACAACAAGAAGACCAAGCTCCCGGTCAAGTGGATGGCGCTGGAGAGTTTGGAGAAGGGAACATACAATGCTAAATCTGATGTTGTAAGTTGAACGATGATGGAATATGTGAGTGGTTTATAGGGTTCAGGCTATTGGTGGCCCAGTCATCTGAAGCTGTAGGTGGCCCAGTCATCTAAGGCTGTAGATGGTCCTGTCATCTAAGGCTGTAGATAGCCCAGTCATCTAAGGCTGTAGGTGGCCCAGTCATCTGAGGCTGTAGATGGCCCAGTCATCTAAGGCTGTAGATGGTCCTGTCATCTAAGGCTGTAGGTGGCCCAGTCATCTAAGGCTGTAGATGGTCCTGTCATCTAAGGCTGTAGGTGGCCCAGTCATCTGAGGCTGTAGGTGGCCCAGTCATCTAAGGCTGTAGGTGGCCCAGTCATCTAAGGCTGTAGATGGTCCTGTCATCTAAGGCTGTAGATGGCCCAATCATCTAAGGCTGTAGGTGGTCCTGTCATCTAAGGCTGTAGGTGGCCCAGTCATCTATTCATCTGAGGCTGTAGATGGCCCAGTCATCTGAGGCTGTAGATGGCCCAGTCATCTGAGGCTGTAGGTGGTCCTGTCATCTAAGGCTGTAGATGGCCCAGTCATCTGAGGCTGTAGGTGGCCCAGTCATCTGAGGCTGTAGATGGTCCTGTCATCTAAGGCTGTAGGTGGCCCAGTCATCTGAGGCTGTAGATGGTCCTGTCATCTAAGGCTGTAGATGGCCCAGTCATCTGATGCTGTAGGTGGCCCAGTCATCTGAGGCTGTAGGTGGCCCAGTCATCTGAGCCTGTAGGTGGTCCTGTCGTCTAAGGCTGTAGATGGCCCAGTCATCTGAGGCTGTAGGTGGTCCTGTCATCTAAGGCTGTAGATGGCCCAGTCATCTGAGGCTGTAGGTGGCCCAGTCATCTGAGGCTGTAGATGGTCCTGTCATCTAAGGCTGTAGGTGGCCCAGTCATCTGAGGCTGTAGATGGTCCTGTCATCTAAGGCTGTAGATGGCCCAGTCATCTGAGGCTGTAGGTGGCCCAGTCATCTGAGGCTGTAGGTGGCCCAGTCATCTGAGCCTGTAGGTGGTCCTGTCATCTAAGGCTGTAGATGGTCCTGTCATCTAAGGCTGTAGGTGGCCCAGTCATCTAGGGCTATAGGTGGCCCAGTCATCTAAGGCTGTAGATGGCCCAGTCATCTAAGGCTGTAGATGGCCCAGTCATCTGAGGCTGTAGGTGGCCCAGTCATCTAAGGCTGTAGGTGGCCCAGTCATCTGAGGCTGTAGATGGCCCAGTCATCTAAGGCTGTAGGTGGCCCAGTCATCTGAGGCTGTAGATGGTCCTGTCATCTAAGGCTGTAGGTGGTCCTGTCATCTAAGGCTGTAGGTGGTCCTGTCATCTAAGGCTGTAGGTGGTCCTGTCATCTAAGGCTGTAGATGGTCCTGTCATCTAAGCCTGTAGATGGTCCTGTCATCTAAGGCTGTAGATGGTCCTGTCATCTAAGGCTGTATCCTGTCATCTAAGGCTGTAGGTGGTCCTGTCATCTAAGGCTGTAGGTGGTCCTGTCATCTAAGGCTGTAGATGGTCCAGTCATCTAAGGCTGTAGGTGGCCCAGTCATCTGAGGCTATAGGTGGCCCAGTCATCTAAGGCTGTAGGTGGTCCTGTCATCTAAGCCTGTAGATGGTCCTGTCATCTAAGGCTGTAGGTGGTCCTGTCATCTAAGGCTGTAGATGGTCCTGTCATCTAAGGCTGTAGATGGTCCTGTCATCTAAGGCTGTAGGTGGTCCTGTCATCTAAGGCTGTAGGTGGTCCTGTCATCTAAAGCTGCAGGTGGTCCTGTCATCTAAGGCTGTACGTGACTGATAAAACAGCCAGGAATCAGTACATAGTAATCAGTGGATTTTGCATCTTTGATCTTGATTGTATTTTTATACTTGTATGTTTCAGTGGTCATTTGGTGTTGTATTGTGGGAGCTGATGACAAGGGGAGTTAACCCATACCCTGAGGTGGACAACTGGGACGTCATCCGCTACTTGAAGGCAGGACGGAGGATGGCACAGCCACAGTACTGTCCCGACCCACTGTAAGATTTACATGTGTGATGTTTGACCACTGTGAGATTTACATGTGTGGTGTTGGACCACTGTAAGATTTACATGTGTGATGTTTGACCACTGTGAGATTTACAGTCTGGTGTTTGACCACTGTAATATTTACATGTGTGATGTTTGACCACTGTAAGATTTACATGTGTGATGTTTGATGATTTGCAAGATTTACATGTGTCATGTTTGATCAGTGTAAGTATATGTGTGATGTTTGATGATTGCAAGATTTACACTGTGTGGTGTTTGACCACTGTAAGATTTACATGTGTGATGTTTGACCACTATAAGATTTACATGTGTGATGTTTGATGATTTGCAAGATTTACATGTGTCATGTTTGATCAGTGTAAGTATATGTGTGATGTTTGATGATTGCAAGATTTACACTGTGGTGTTTGACCACTGTAAGATTTACATGTGTGATGTTTGATCATTGCAATATTTACATGTGTGATGTTTGACTACTGTAAGATTTACACTGTGTGGTGTTTTACCACTGTAAGATTTACATGTGTGATGTTTGATGATTTGCAAGATTTACATGTGTCATGTTTGACCACTGTAAGTATATGTGTGATGTTTGATGATTGCAAGATTTACACTGTGGTGTTTGACCACTGTAAGATTTACATGTGTGATGTTTGATGATTGCAAGATTTACACTGTGGTGTTGGACAACTGTAAGATTTACATGTGTGATGTTTGACCACTGTAAGATTTACACTGTGATGTTTGACCACTGTAACATTTACATGTGTGATGTTTGACCACTGTAAGATTTACACTGTAGTGTTTGAGAACTGTAAGATTTACACTGTGGTGTTTGACAACTGTAAGATTTACACTGTGGTGTTTGACCACTGTAAGATTTACATCTGTGACAGTGTGAGTCACACATTGTACCCATATGGGAAATCAAACCTAGGTCTTCAGTGCTGATGGTTGTCATGGAAGCGGTGAATGTCTGCCTCTCCATCACTTTCACCTGGGTTTTACTTCCACATAAGCCAGATTATGAGAACTCAATATCACTTGAAGTAGCATTAAGCCAATCTAATCAACTGTGTGTGCTGACCATTGCAAACCTTTGAACTGTTTCTTGTTGTCAGATACACCATCATGCGTCACTGTTGGTCTGCCACACCAAACGACCGGCCATCTTTGCAGACGTGGCCCGTGACATCACAGATATGATCTCCCAGCTGGAACACAACACTGGCCCCCAGCGGAGGAACATCGAGAACACCTACGTCAATGTGGACATGAGTTCTCAGTGCCACTACACCGACGACTTTAATCCTCCCAGTCGAGCAGCATCTGCATCAGAAGCTTGATACCTGCGTCTTGTACCTGAAAGCATTAACATGGGAATACTAAGCTGGTATACACCATCATGTACACAGATCAACTGCACCTGATAATCATGTATAGCCATTTTGTTTTGTTTTTATGGGGTTAAATTATTATTTTAGGGATTCAGTTCTACATTCAGTCTAGTTAAATCTATGAAAGTGTCAGCATTTATCGTAAAAAGATAGCTTCAGTGTTTGTTCAGTAAACTCAAGGGGTTTTGGAATACTAGTTTCATTGGTTTGAAATTCTACTGCAAGTATATTGTAACTTAGCCATTAACTAACATTTAAATATGTGGAATAATCATTATGTTCCTGAAAGCTATTCAGTGAATGGCATCTCTGTTTCGAAAGGGTTAATTATCACTGCTCCCACTATGTGGCTCAGGTCACTTAAAGGGTTAAGCATCACTGATCCTATGGCTCACGTCATTTAAAGGGTTAATGAGACACTGTTGGTGATAGTTTGACCCTCTGTATTTTGAAACAAGTGTTGCCTTATTTTGTTTGGTCAGTATTCAGTTTGCTTGTTTACTCTTGGTTTACAGCTGGTGGTGTTCTTGTTTGTGGGAACATCCTCAGAAAACAAAGAATGAAAGTTATAAGTTGTGTCAGTTCAACTGCCAGTGTAAGATATTTTTCAGGAAATTAGTATTTTTCAAGCCATATTGATACAGAAGGCAAAATAATAATTATTCATTTGACAAAGAATTAATGTGTATAAGTTTTAATATAAACTTTTGTGTCATTTCAAAGGTGATGATGTCTGTAAACCAAAGAGTGACCAAAGTATGACCGTACCTGTCAGGGATTTCTGGCACATAAATATGTGTCCGGTGAAACTAATGTACGTTGTTGTTTGTATGTCACTTTGATAGTTTCATGTGATAATCTGAAGGAGAAGATGGGAACAAAAACACTTTTCCGATCAAGCGAAAGTATAGTGTTCATGTTTTTATGGTTACTTGTGGAGTTTTAATTATATGAGAGTAAAACTATTAAAGGAAATTAATTTAAAATGTTTTCATATTAACCGTGTAAATATGACTGCCTCTTTAATCTAATGGATAGAGTGTCTGCTCTTGGTTTGTCAGAGCCACCTCCGCGGCCTAGTGGCTAGAGCGGTCTAGTGGCTCGATTGGTCTAGTGGACAGAGCGGTCTGGTGGCTAGATTGGTCTAGTGGATAGAGTGTCTGCCTGGAGAGTGGAAGGTCAGTTGTTTAGTTCCTGGCTGCATCACACCCACAGAGTTTTTACCGTGACGTCTGCTCGGCAGTTAGGGGACAAAAGAAGGAGTGGACGGCTGGGGGTCAGCATGCAGTGTCCAAGTATGGTATCCATGTTAAACTTTTTTTAGAGCAAAATTACTGAAGGATAATTCTATAAAACCAAAACCCCCAACACTCAAGCCAGTTTGATATTAACCAATACTTATCAGTTATTGATCAACCACAGACAATACGGAAAACAAAATGAAAATGACATGTATATCTATAATTTTGTAATGAGCATCTTGTTTTCATAGCAGTTTAGTATCAGCTTAGAAGATAATCAGATAGAGGATAAAATGATGCTAATATTGTTCTTGTTACATCAGGATTGATGTACATGTGATTTGTACAGTTCTAAGAATGTCAGTCATTCTTTTAACACTTGTTGTCAAGCACATTCAAAGATCTCAAAGACATGGTAAAACCACAGTAGTTATCTATGGAATAACATCCTAGATGTGATACGGGATGTATTAGGAGAGGTCACAATTTCCTGTCATTACACTTCCACATTTCTCATACCAGACGCCCTGCTGCAATAGATGCCCATTGACCAACTTCTTGACCAGTCGGCAAGTAGTCTTCATAAACATCTCCTACCATTAGGGCTGGCTAAATAGATCGATAATCAAACTTAAGGATTATTGATATGGAAATTGTGTTATATCATACTTAACTTTTTATGATAGAATATAAATTTGATTTACTCACACAAAACACAGAGTTGGGACTTTGCTGTTTCTAAATTGTGTTCAGGACGTTGTTTTGTTAGTAATCCATGCAAAAACATGTCGCCACTCCCCAGTGATGTGAAATATATTCATATATTCATTTCTTTTAGACTTTTTTTTTCATTTTTGCTGAAAGTTACTTCTCCAATATTTATCAATAATTGATCAAAATGATCGTTAATAATTATCATTCTCTATGACCTTCGTTGATAGCCAGACCTATTACCATCATCTGGGTCAATCTTTGTGGTGTTTATGACATCCCCTACAAAGACTGAACACATGAATCAATGTCTGTAGTTTCTTGTGTATAGTAAATATTTAAACCTTCAAACAGCACAAGGACGTGGTACCGATATATAATTGCTTTTCTTCTTTTCAGACTATTTTCAGAGAAGTTTAATGTTCATTTATGTTTTTTCTTGTACTAAGAATGTCCAGCATGGTTCCGTTTCCGAAACAAGTGAAACACAGAATGGATTAAATAACAATCCCCTTTTTCATTTTGATGAACATCCAGATTGCTTATTACAGTAAATATGGTATGGACATTACTGAGGCATGTTCAGGTGCCTGGTTATATTTCCCAGAGGCCCTGGGCTCCTTATTGTGACTGTGAACAAGACATTGTAGGTTGTAAGTCACACTAACACTGAAGAACTGTTGACGTAACAATACTATTATGTCTAATGGTCCCTCAGTGGTAGATTTGAGACGACAGATTGGCTCAGTCATGTCATCATGTTTTGAAATGATTGATAAAATCATTTGGGTTTAAGTTAGACAGAGATTATTACACAAACAAGTGTGTAATAATTTCTTAATTATTCATTATATTAATGTACATTTTTGCAGTAAAACACGGTAAGCATGCGTGACAGCCCCCTTCAATGACATCACTTTCTTTTGTTAATGACGTCACAGACTACGAAATACGGAAACAAGGGTAGCTCGGCAAAAGTGATATGTGCACATGTGCACATATATATGACACTGGTTATGTTCCAGCATATGGATAATAATGAGTATTGTTACCTGTGTAAATTAGGAGATAAACATACTGTGTTGGAAAATCAGAGGTATATAACGAACTTATAATAGCTCTAAATTTGATTTAATACCGAACGCGTAGCGTGAGGTTTTAAATTAAAAAAATTAGAGCTATTATAACTTCGTTATATACCTCTGATTTTCCAACACAGTACATTTATCTCCATTCTACCATGACCGCGTTATTAAGATTTTGCAAAAATACATACTGTGTTGGAAAATCAGAGGTATATGACATGATTATATACCTCTGAATGACTTTGATTAACCAATTACAATCCAGTATTTACTGAAGTCATGGTAGAATGACACATAATGTGTATAATGTTCACCAAGTTCACACGAAGCCTGTTTGTGACATTTCCTAGTGTAGCCTCACCCAGCAGTATTACAACACACCAGAGGCAGTTCCTGTGAAGGCAGGTCCCTCATTTTATGTGAAAATATATTTTCATTGAAAATTCAATTCAGAATGTGCTTCTTTCTATCATTTGCAAACTTTATAATGTTGTTTTGGTATATATTGTCTTGATAAATGTATAATAATGTATGTATATTAGTACAAGATAGATATATATATTTCTACTTTATAAATTACGTTTTTAGACATTTGTAAATAGACGTGCTGCTTCAACTTTTACCTTGATCTGCTGTTTTAAAGTTTCTAGAAATGACTTACTCTCTATTTTATCCTCAAAAGTATTAGTGATCAATTTCTAATGAAATGTCGCCACTATTTTCACACTTATGCATCGATGAAGTGTGGGACTATACAATTGTACATATATTCTTTTTCCTGTGCCTTTGAAGAGCAGAGCTTTTAGTATACTGCGATATTGAACATGATTTATATGCAAGCAGTCGGTGTACTGTAATGATACAATGAATAAACCATGCCAGTACTATATGAAATACTAGGAGTATCTGTGTTGAAGTCCACTGGTTTCAGTTTTAGTTAGAAGGGGTAATTTGATGGAACAAGAACTGGTTGACTTCTCAGTGTAATGTGTCTGGTCGGTAGCCATATTAATCTGTGGCATAGTATCTCAGCGGTCTAGCCTTTCAAACTGTCATATGTAATCTTGACATGATATTTAACCTCATTTCATCCCCTTCACCTCACTTAAAACTCTGTATCTTGTCTCACTTGATTTTACCCTTTCACCTCACTTCACCTCACCTCACCTCACCTGACAACCTCCTGACCTTGCCTCCCCTCCCCTCCCCAGACTTTATCTGACAACCATTCTTACCTTGACACACCTCACCTCACCGCACCGCACCCAAAACCACACCATACCCCACACCACCCACCTCACCCCACCCTATCTCACCTCACCCCACCTTGCCTCGCCTCACCTCGCCCTGCCCCATTTGTTTCAATTATAATGTAAACATTCCTTTGGATTATGATAGCCTTTATTCCTGTGGTTCCACAGATACAGAAATGAAAATGAAATTTTAAACACTAAGTCATAGCTATTCCTAGTGGTATGCCTAACTGATTACTGAATTATCTCCCCTGACCATGACGTCATGGCATTGTTGATTGAAAACCCTTTATAATTTTTTACAAGCATTTTCTGGCACAATATATATATATATATATATGTTAAATCCCAGTATCCCCACCCAATATCCTGACACGATTTGTTGCTGTGCAGAGTTGCTGCCCGTATAAATGCCAGGAACCTGTGCTCATGGGTTGCGTCCTGGGTGACCAAAGACTGGCATCACTTTCTGCCATCAATCTCATGCCATTATATAACTGAAATATTTTCTAAAATGGCATTTAACCAAGATCACTCATCTGTTGGACATGGTGGACCTTCATTACAGAATTACTGGCAGTTTACAACTGTCATGCTGCTTACGCCATGTGAACTGTTGTGTGCAGTGTGTTGATGCTGCCATGTTTGTGTGTGGAGTTTGATGAGCAATAACAAAAACGTTTTATTGTTGTGGTCCTCTACTGGGATCTGACTTATAGATGTCTGTGATCTGCATATTGTTTGACTTTCCTTCCACATTACGATGTCACCCTGCAATGCAGCTAGACATTTCTTAGAAGCAGCATTGAGCACCTCACCTCTATGATTCTTGTATCATTTATATAACATTGAGCTCGACCAATCTTGAGTTTTTGTATGTTTACCAGTGTGCTGTGATGTAGGAGCAGAAAAACATTCTTGAAACAAAGGAAATGCAACGTTTTTCTAAACTTAGAATATTTTTCATCAAAACTTTTTTTCAATATTTCCATGTTGTATGCTATATTTACCATAGACTCATTTCCAGAACCAGAGTTATGATTGGTCTATTATGATTGGTCTGGCCTCATTTTGATTACAGAGAACTGCCTCGCACTTGTTACCTTACAGTCTTGAGATGTACAGAAAGTCCTATGCATGTAAATGGAGTGCTACCTTCAAGACAACAATCATTTTCTACAGATTTTGTTACCTTGAGTGCCTTTGTTCTCCAAATGGTTCTTGTGTTCCTTTTAAGAATTCATTCCCATTTTGGGTAACATTAGTGAACAGTTTGCTTGCATCGATGAAGCACATATATGTATGCCCAATGTTTCTGGTGTCACTGTTTGAAGTTGATATTTGTTTTAAGTCGACTAATTAAAGATGTTTGTTATAGAGAGGTATAAATCGGTAACCGCGTATGTAATATGTACACAGAGGCTGATAAGAGTTTCAGAGTCCAGGGATGGATATTCACCAGGACATAGCAACTCCAAATACCAACCATCTGACCTTTCCTGAGAATATGATTGTCACA